TGCAAATTATGTGTAAAGTTGATTGGGGAAGCAAATATAGTATTAGCTTTGAGCACCAAAGTAAAATTCAATTATTTTAATTGAAGTTCCTGCTTTAAATTGATATAATTAAACTGATACAACTATCAGTAGACAGTGTTGCAGTAATCTTGCTTAGCTTGTATTGGTTTAGCTCCTGTCTTTGGCTTTCAACAGATTTGATCCAGTTTAATTGGTTTAGCAACTTTAACGCAGGGTGTGTGTCTAGTCCAATCTTTATCTGAAGTCAAATTGCTAAGCATTACAAATCTAATCATTCAGGATGAAAAAGCAGCCTGTAACGAAGGCTCCCTTTTAGGGACATGGATTGGGGAGGATGCTATTCCCTGTACACCTGGAGCAGTAAAAGTACGAGCTAGGACAAAGTTAAGCTGTACAAGGTAAGTTACTGTTTGGTCTCGCCCATCACTGCTGGGTTTTTGTGAAAAAGGGTATGTGGTGTTCCATTATGTATAGTGAGCCATGTAATTGTACATTAGCATACAGAATGCTTTTAGCTTTGCATTTGCTATCTCTTGCTAATAGGGTAGTTATCGTTGGGAATTATCAAAAGGATTGCATGCTGACTGCACTGAAAGCAGTAGGATTTGCTCATACGCTGTAGCTTGGTAACCTAGAGAATAAACAGCATGTAGGATGGTGTAGTTGAAGTTGGAAAAACTTTCTCAGTAGATCTGATTTTTTCTCCGTTTTTTTTTTTTTTTTTTTAAATCTAGAGATCTTAAAATAAAAAATCCTGAAGAGGAGCTCATGAAATTGGCCAAGGAATTTGATAAAAATCTGGTAGAGCTAGATGCTGTTCAGGAACAAGAGAAGCTTGGCCGTGGCTTTATCCAGACTGCCTCCGATTCTTTAAAAAGTTACAAAGATGAAGTAAATAGGAAGAACCTGAAATCACTCCTTAGTGAAGTTTCTGAAACAGGTGCTGCTCTGTCCCTGAAACCAGTTGCAGAAAGCACTGGCATCACCACTGCAGAGCCCTGTCTGTCTAGCAGTCAAAACTCTGTAGACCTTGAGGCCGAAATAGCTCTTCATGCTCTTTTTGATTGCTCTACCCAGAAGTGTACTGGACAGTTGAGCCAAGGACTATCGGGTATTTCTTTAAATAATAGTTTCCATGAAAACAAAAGGACACTGGAGGAGGAACACCTTCCTGAACAAATTAAAAATACACAACATGGTAATTCAGATGCATGTCAAAAACATAATCTCTATGCACTAGGAAGTGTGAACCAGACTCTTCCAAAAACAGATACTAACACACTGACAAAAAAAAATACTCCTTTGAAGAAACAAGTGGTGGTCTCCAGTAAGCCTGCTGGAGTAGTTAATGATGATTTTGATGATTGGGATACAGATTTTTTGGCAGATGACTCTTTTGTGATGCAAATAACCCAAAATCCTGAGTTGATTAATACTGAGGAAGCTGCAACAATTCCTATAAATACTTCTGTGCGTGGTTTCAGTGATGCTAGCAGAACAAAGGAAAGAAGTAGCTGCAATTCAGTAATTTCTTTGGAGGGTGTACACAAATCTAAAAGTTCTCAGTTTTCACCTTTGAAGCATCCTAGTAAAAACACACACAATGTTGCAAAGTCTCTTTCTTTACAAAAGCCATTTAATAAGATGGAAAACTCAAAGATGGCAACCACTGGTTCTACTTGGAGAAGTGCCCAGAACAATGATTTTAGCTATATTCCCGTTTCAATGCAATCTCAAGTGAAGAATGGAAATGAAACTGTTGAGCCTAAAGGTAACTCTGTTCTTTTCCCATCAAGACCTAATCCTCACAGACCACGGACTGAAAAACCTGGGAGTAACTTGCCCAATATTTTCTGTGAATCAGCCAATATTTCTACCAATACTAAACCTAGTGATGCAATTAAAGTGGTTAACCAAGCTAATACAGGTCATGTAAATACAGTTGAAATACCAAAGAAAAGTACTCCGTCATTTGATGACTGGAATGAACCAAAATTCTCTGATGAGGTTTTAGACATGTTTTGTGAATCCGATAGTCTGTGGGACGCAAACTGTGAGGATGATGAATTGTTGTATCAAGTATGTGATGATATAGAAAAGCAGACTCGGAGCCAGGATGCTAAACAAGGAAATGAAAGAGCTAAAACTGTACAAGGAGCCAGTAATCTCTCCAGAACGAATGTTGACAGTGGCTTCACAGCATCTAAACAAGGACTATCTGATCGCTTCGTGGCCCAAAAACCAAATGCAAAACAGGATGGTTTTTTACTAAACAATTCCGGTAGGAACTTCTCAAGGGTTACACATGGACTGACTACAACAGGGCAGACAGTGAACTGTAAAAATGTTTCAAGCCCTCTATCAATGATCTCGGGTACTTCTATGGACTGTAAATATACACTATCTAAAAACTATCATCAAGCTGCTTCTGAAGATACTACAAAGAGTATTTCAGGAAAATGGTACAGGTCAAATTCTGTGCCAGCAAGAGAGACTCATTCTGAAACAAGTTCAGCTAACACAATAAATGTTTTTAGTAGCAAAAGATTTGATGGCCAAGATCTCTTAAATAATACAGGAAAGACAACAAATAACAATTCTGGTAACAAAACATCAGCTGTGCCTTCAAAGTTTAAGTTCCGAAAGACTAACAGTTCTCAGAACGCTCTTCATGTAGGGTCAGAAAATCCAGGGAGTCATTCTGGCATTGGAATTGCTCCGCAGGGTTTGGAAGGAAGTAAGAATCAGGTGCATGTGGCTTTGTACAGCAAACCTGAGAACACAAAACCACCTTTCAAGAGGCACCTTTCAGAGTCTTTTGCACTGTCTACATCAGGTATGTGTCTTTGTTCTATTACTGTTACACCGTTTTTGTTTTCTTACTGTAATCAGAAAGTCAAAGAAGTTTGTACCATATTTCAAAGTAGGCTTCAATGTTCATCTGTTCAGTTTAGGTGTTAGTAAATGTTCTAACGAGAACTTGGAGGTTGTTTTCTCCAAACTAAAATCATCCTGACACATCTCTTGAATTCTTGTAGTTAGGGACTTCACTTCCCCATCTTCATTCCACTTCTCAGAATATTTCACGGTCTCCATAAATGCTCAGAATCATTAGGATCAAGTACACCCTGATGCGGCAGTCAGCATACCATATTCTGACCTGCTTAAAACTGTTGATACACGGTAAATGCTGTAGTGCAAGTCAGTGCTTTAATTTACAGTACATTTTGGTAAAGATAAAAACAAACAAACAAAAAAGCCATTAACAATTACTTTTTCAGCCATGGTTCATAAAACCCCAGTTAATGATGGGGCAGGGAAAGATGGCAGCAGATGATATGGAATGCCAATTCCTTTTTATTAGTGTATACCTGGAAATTGGAACCTCAAATCGTTCTGAAAGTAGGTGTGTATTGTTGTTTGCTCTGTGAACAGAATTGCCAGTGAAATACTCTTTGTGATCAGTCTAAACAGTAACACTTAGCCTCGCAGTTAGTCATTAGTCCATCATCTGTATATTCTATGCACTGATATTACTTGCTAGGGAAATGCAGACAGTCAAGTTTCAGTCAGTTCTTGTTTTTATTTGACCTAATTGCTTGGTGAAGTACTAATCAATATTCATTTTGATAAAATAGGCCTTTAAATTTAGTGCAGTATACCAACCTCCATTCTCAGGAAGCACTGTTACAAAACCAAAAAATAATTCCTGCATACCACCAGCCAGCATTACCTAAAGAATCAGTATTTTGTCTGTTTTGTGCCCAGCGTAGAAACAAGTAAATGGAAAGTAGCTATTTTGGATGTCAGGTGGGGAGGAGAGGAGAGATAGCTAGTCATTCTGTGGAATGTTTCAGAGAATAAATGAATGAAATAGAAAGTACCTGATAGCATAGATTCTATTTTAAGAGAAACAACAAAATTCCTCCCTCATCTTAAGTTTTTTTGGAAAAGGACCTTGCTGTAACAAAAAGATGGCCATTAAGCAATCTCTTCTAAAACTAATACAAAATTTGTCATGGATATCTGTAATTAATCTTTTTTTAAGAAGCAAACAGGCCCATTATTTTTTTTTCATTATTTACCCAGTCTGAAAGGCTACTTATTAAAAATAAATTAATTGGAAATTTGTGCATAAAAACAATAAAATACTTGACGTGCAGAATGATGGGAGTCTTCCTGTTGGATCCAATGAGGTCAGGATTTTATTGTATGGGAATTTATAGTTCTGTAACACAACATATAAAATATTACGTTTGGCTATCATGTTCTTGTCTCCTTTGCCGATTTTTATTGCTACTTTTGACCTTTTTTCAACCTTTCTGGTTTTATTTGTGTGACACCTGTACTATATCTGACCCCTGTGTCTATACCATCTCCGTGCCCATATCTCTACCTAACTCACTAAATTGTAGAGCCCTTTTCACTCTGATAGCCTTAATTTTCTTAACCCATTGCCATCCCCTGTGTTGACTCCTGATGTCACAAGGTTCACTTGAAGGGCAGCCAAGTAAAATTTCCTTGAAGCAAATGTCTGCATCCCAGTACTTTCATTGGGAGGCAGTAATCACTAGCACTACAAAGGTCATGCATCTTATACCCCTTCCTGCCTTGGGGACAGGATAGATGAGCCATTTTTAACTTGGGTGCCTCATATGTCAGAATGGTGTGCTCTTGCCATATATCTTCAGCCACCGAAAATAGATGAGTTAAAATGCATATTGAACAAACTTGAAGGCTCCTAATGCATGTTTTTTATTTACAGTGGCTGTGGTGGAACAAAAAAACAGGAAATGTTCTCAAGAAGAAATTGAAAGAAAGAAACAAGAAGCTCTTGCACGAAGGAAATCCAGAATGCAGGCATTCTTAAAAGATGCTTGAGTTTGACAGGAGTTACCAAGTTCTGGGGAGGGAAATATTGTAATGCTGGAAGACTTTTTAAAACTGTGTTCATGGCTACTGACAACAAGCTTTGCTTATTTCCTGATATAAAAAAAAAAAAAAATCTTGATCCTGAACCACAATTAATATTCTGGTGGTATTTAGTCTTATCTAAAAAGTACCAGTGGTAAAATTCTAGTCCCAAATATCTTCAACATAATGAAGTTCAAGATTGTACTGAGTTCATGTTCTGTTATGCGTTGAAGTTGTATACTGTAAAAATCATGAGCACGTGCAAGCATTTGCAGACCCAAATAAGTAGAAGGCTTCAAAAACAGACTGTATGTATTTTGGCTGTATTTCTCTTATTAGGAGTATCTTAATCTAAAGGAAGACACTTGAGCACACATGGACTAAACAATGTTTGCTTTCAGGTAGGTGAAAGTTCTAAAGTTTTGCTTTAAAGGAAGTACAGAAAACATGTGTCATTGGGGAAACTATTGGAAATTAATAGGTTTTAGAAACCTTGCTCAGTTTGTGTCTGTTACCTTAATTCTTAAGGTAAGAATTGTACATGATGAAGGAATAATTTAATATGCAAGTTTCATAAGGTGAAATAACATCCTGGAAAGGACATTTTTGTTTTTCATTTCCTCCACAAAGAGTTGGAAATATCATAACTACCAAAATTAGACCACCTTTTTCTAACCAAGTATTACCAAGCATTTTTTTTTTTTTTTTAAAAAAAGGAATCCCATGTCATTTTACCAAACTGTAAGCAATACAAAATATACCAGGTGAAATGTCAGCAACTGTGAATCAGTTTAGTGTTACGGGTTATACATATTTTTCAAACTAAAGGCTGTTAAAACATAATAATGCAAGGTCATGTCAGCTTAACAGGGGCTGATAGAATTCTCGATGTGATAGATGGGTGCAGAGCTTAAACTGCAAAAAGTGCCTGTGGGTAAGCTGCAAGATATTTTTCAACTGAGAAATGCCTATATGTAAACATGTGACACTATGAAAAGTGACTGTGATTTTTCTTTGTAAATAAATAACTTCAAAATGTACCAAAGGCTAGATGAAGCTTTTGGTTCCTGTAATATGTACTGGTTTTGTAACTCTTAAAAGTGTAAGTATTGTATATTTGTAAATCATCATTAAATTCGTTTTTTTGTTGTTTTTTTTTTACATTTCTCTACTCTGTTCTGGGAAATACTACAGTGCAGAAACTGGTAAAAGGGAGTGGGATGGGAATTCCATCCTGACTTTACCTGACAGTTCTCTCATGCCTACTAACTTACTCAGTTATTCCACACCTCATTTTTGCATGCACACACCTATAGTGGTGGCAAAGTGCTTCTCTTCGTCAGTTTAAACTGAAACTCCTTTGTGGGGGCACTGGTTGTAAACATAACCATCTGCAGCGGAGCCCTGAAACAGTAAGCTCTATTGGTTTTCAAGCTACTGTAGGTGCTTTTATATTAGCCACCGTTCTTGGTGCTAGTTGCTGGATTATAAAATCAAATCCTTAAGTCTACCGAAGGCGATGCTGTGCCAAGTGAGCATTACTTACGGTTTCTGGCTGCAGTTCCCTGTCCTGCCAATTCCAGCTGTTGTGCAACATACGATGAGTTGGATCAGCTTCCTCATCTGACAAAGTTAACCCAGAGAAAAATGTTTACAGCTCACCATAATAACACAGATACTATAACATGAAATAGCGAGGTTCTCTGTTGTGTTGTCAAACCTCTGCTGGCAGTGCTCTGATGGTTCAGAAGACAGCAGATTTGCATGGCCATATTACAAATAAATGCAACACAAGTAGCAGTGGTTGCAAAAACTGCGTTTATCCAGAGAATGTGGTTTGATCTGTGTATCTGAGGGATGTTTGTCTTCATGGTGTTCTAGGAAAATCTAAACCATCAGGTAACTTGCCAGATGTACTACTGGCCAAGAAAGTGGCTATGAGAAAAGACTTCTACCATCAGTATTAAATACGAAAATTATAAGACTGGCTTTTAAGGTACTGACACGAGAATGTCAAATCCTATTGCAAAAGACAAAGTTAGGCTTTTGCTAGGACAGCGTTCAGCCTATCAACCCTTGCCTCTCCAGGATTTTTCTCTAGAAATGATTCTGTTTAAAAGGAGCCAGGATAATGTTTGTTTTCAAGGATGGTGTGGTTAATCATTCTTCTGGTTTGAGACTATAAACTAACTAGAAGAGAAAAAACTGATTGTCGGAACCGGAGAGTATTTTTTAGGAAGTTTTCATTCCCTGATGTGAAAGGATCAAATCAGATTTGAAGTGGGGATAAACAGAAGATACATAACAGGAAACACAGGCTGAGCACATGATGGCTACCCAAGCTCAGCACACAAAACACCATTCTGAACACGTGCCACTGCGTGTCCTTGAGTGCACCCCAGAGTTTAAAGCCAGCTCACTGCCCTTTCAGGTGACGCTGATTTTCTCAGGTGCCCACGAGAGAAAGGCCCTGGAGCTGCCCTCCTGAAATGCCACTGCTGGTCTCCCCGCAGAGCAGGGTAAGAGCACGCTCGCTCATCTTTCACAGGAGCCAACCTGCCTGCCTTCCAAGCTGCAGAACAGGGCTCTGTGTACAAGGGGAACTCCATTCTCACAAGGGGCTGGGAAGGACCCCTCACAAACCTTCCAGCTGGAGGAAGATGCAAACTACCTTTTGACAAATTACTGTCACTTCCTTATCTAAGTACTTCACCGCATTTTAAGAAACTGTCTGCTGGCGAGAGTGAAACATCTCATTTTTGACAGCTGACAGCTAACACATCTACTGCCCTCTCCCATTAAACTAATCGTAACAGAGGGGCTTTGGCTTTTATTTTACTTTTCATAAATACCTATTTTCAGCAGGGATATTATGCTTCAAGGCCTGTAATGTGGTCTTTCTCAAATGCTGCTTTCCAAATAGAAATCACAAGTTCTTGGGATCATGGTTTCTTAACTGAAGTCAAGACAAAATAAAATTTTTTTTTGGTCACACCCTCGCTGACTGTCCCCAAATGCCCTACCATATCATCTTCCAATTAACAAACTGAATAGAGCTTCTTTTTGTTACTTGGTGCTATTAGAAACAGATAAATCATGTCTTGCCTTAGAATTAAAACCCTTCTATACCATTTTTATTAGGCAAATCTGGTAAAAGTGAAAAACTCAGAGAAATATTTCAACCCTGTACAGTTTCATTGGTGGAGTCAGTGCAGGCAAAAGGTTTATTAGGGCTCAGAAATACCTATAAAGAACAGCAACCTCTACAGCATCACAGGTGAAATTCCACAGCCTAGGTATTTTTATCTCTGAATAAGAAATACATTTATATTGCTTGGGGAGAAACAAAGAGGAAACACAATAAAAAATAAACTCTGTAGCTATGCATGCAAAATAAGAGTACACACCACAGAGCTGATTTCTGCCTAGCAGATGCTGCAGGGATGTACATGGTGCTGGGCCTCGGCAGCTGCTCTGCAGAGCAGAGAGGTGCAAAAACTGCATCCCTCCTGCTTGCTCTTGTCTTAGGTCCCTCTTCCCTCCACCGAGGGAAAAGCTGTGTGGCAGCCACACGACCCCACAGGTTATGCTCAGCAGCCCTGGTGCTCACTGGTAATTCCCGGTGCACCGCTGATCCTGCATGTGCCAGCCTCGATCTGCAAGCTTTTGTCTGACTGCTTGCAGCAGACAACAGTTCTTCATTAGGAAAGTATCTACACGGTTTTAATTAATTAATACATGTGTACGCGTAAAAAGTTTGGTATTTCAATAGCTGACATTTCACTATGAAGTCACATCTTCCTCCAGGCAAAAAAGGCCTATACAAATAGTAACAACAATCTTAAATACATTCCAAATTAAATTATGACTGTCATGTTTCATTATAAATTAATTTGTAACTGTTTGCTTAAGCACTCATCTTCGTTTCATTCAGAGCACAGCAATTTTTTACATGAGCAGAGCAATCAGTGAGCTTGACTTTAAATGAAAATGGAATTCCTTGTACATCCCCATACCTGAGGATCATTTTTATTTCATGGGCAATCTCACTATGAGTGATGGTACTCGCTAAAACCCGAGGATTACCTGTCTAAACTAAAACTTGCGGTGTTTTTTCTTTTACAAAGACAGATACAATCAAGTAAAGGATCCATTCATCGTTATCTGTATATAAAATTATGTGTTGTGGAATATACCTACATATATTCGCATCCTTCCTGCTCATGCTGGTGAGGGACCATGTTTAAAGCATTTGAGAAATTTGGTAATAATGTTCTTTATTGTGTTATTTATCTCAGATTTTTGAAGAGGTCAGCATCCAGCAGCTCTTCAAATTTTGGCCTATAATGCACAATTAATCTTGGGGCTGCAGTTCAGGCATGGCAATGTAATCTTAGACTATGTGCAGCACTTATTACATCTAGACCTTTATACCCAGAGGAATAACATAGATGAATTCATTGATTATATCTTTTTAAGCCTAAAAAGAGCTACACTTTGTCAGGGAAGAGTAGCTGGAAGCAACAGATAGTGACCTAAATAGTAGAATTCCAAAGATAAAATACAAGAAAATGAACACAAATGCTTCATTGTTTGAGAGCCTGTATTGTCTGTAACACACTCCAGTGAATCCAGTGTTTGCGGAAGAGGCCGAGGCAGATATAATCTGTGGAGCAAAAAATGACAGCCTGAGTAAGTAGCCATCAAAGATGAAGCCAGGAAGACTCCGGCAATTGTGCCGTAAATCATAACTGCAATATTTGTTCAAAGCTCCGGTTACGACGCATACTGGTGGTTTTGTCAGAATAGTCAGAAAAGTCCTGCCTCATAAAACACTTAAGAATATCTAATGTGCTGCTCTTGTGGAACTAAATATAAATTTCTTTGACTATTGTCTGCGTGTAATGTCAGTATGGCAGCTTGCAACCATTAAGGGTCTGATTCTACTCTTGCTGCAATTTCCTTCAAGCGCTGGAGGTAATGGAATGACTCAGGCGAGCGGAGAATCAAGCCCATGCATTTCATTACCCTAAGTAGTTCTCATCTTTAGCACATAAATCTAGTGAAACAGGATTGCATTTATCAGAAATTGTTATTGTTTATGCGCACTTGCAAAGTTTTTGGTGGGAAAAGGTTGCATTTATGCATAGCTTGTAAAAGCTGCAGTTAACAGCTTTCACCTCCAACATGCAGTTAGCAGAGGTGAGGAGAGGATTACTGGATTTATAGATTTCCTTTTTAATGAGGTTGTCTGCTCTTTGCAGCTTGTCCTTACTGAAGGAAAAACTTGATTCAGGTTTTAACCCCAGAAAACTACGTGTAGACATGGGAATGAAGCTTGGCGCGCACTGCTGCACTCACTGTGAACAGAAGCTGGGTCAGTCAAAATGAAGTGTGATATTCGAACTCAACACAGCAAGTTAGGTTTTAGGGACTTTTTTTTTTTAATTTTTAATTTTTAATTTATTTTTTTTGGGGGGTGCAGGGGAGACCTAAAGCTGAGTATACACTGGCATGTTTTGCAGAACCATGGTTGTAGGGCCAAGTATGTCTGGATATTTAAGCACCTGGGAAAGTTACTCATGGCTAGTCACATTGGTGATTCAAGTGGTATTAAAAAGACCTTGATGAACAGTTTGTTTTGAATAGCCCATTAGACACCTAGCTGCACCTTTGGATGTTAGAGACCTATAGAAAACCAAACTTCACTCACAAAAAATAAAATTAAATTAAATTAAAAAATAAAGGACATAATGATAGAAAGAAAAATTTGTTCTCAAAGGCTTGCATAACAGTTGGGCAACATTTTAGCAGATGAACTGTTAACTCTTTCTCCACCAGTAAGGACTTGCAAAGGACTCACATTTAGCTCTCATGTTCTACAGCAAAAACCTGAAATGTATGCAAGAAATATCAGAAATTTGAATTCCTGTCTTCCAGGTTACTTTTTATAGGCTACAACATACCTGGATATTGCCAGATGTTTTGTAAGCTTTAATGCTGTGTAAGCAGTTGACAACAATCCTAATAACTGTTCTGTTACTGAACTTGAATACGTACTAGCAAAGAATGAAGGAAACTGAATTTTACAGAATGACTAAAAATATTTTCTATGCCATTTGCTCAATTTTCAGCATACTGCCTTGTGCAACTTCCATGTGAACCACTCCTGAGAAGGACAGTCAAACCAGCCAGGACCAAAATGTCCAATATAAAACCTCTGAATACCCCAGAAGATTTGTTTGTAACACCAGATTTCCAACCAATAGTAAGAAGGAAGAAAGCTGTGTTGTTCATGGGTTGGGGGTGTAAGGCTCAGAGGTTCATTGGTTGTAGTAACAAAGGCTGACATGGGACCCTCACAGAAGACACTGCCATGCACATGTCACACGGACTTTTCAAAACTCTTGTTTTTTCCTCTCCATCCGTCAGTAATTATCACCCCTCAATGTCAGAAGTGGTTGTTAAGAATGCTCAGTAGATCCAATTAGGAATCATGTGCAATTAAGGCTTCCACAACATGAGACTCCTGCTCCTTTACAGGTGATTGAAGCTATCTCCTACATTTCAAACTTACACTCACTTTTACTTAGATCTTAAACTCAGATATTTTCTAAGGCGTA